AAATGCTTGCGGCTCTCGGAGCCCTGAGCGTATCTGTGTGTGTTTGTATGGAGGTGTGCACGGTAGCGCGAGCAGCCCGTGGATTTAGTAGTCGTTGTCGTTGTTTCGTATCGTCCCGGGGTACGACGCTTCTCCTGCTTTGGGACCGAGCGCGGAGCCCAGGTGTGTGTGGCGATAGACCTGGGCTTCGGGCTCTCCGTGCGGGGAATGGAAGCGGCACTCTTGCTCTAGTGCCGCTGTTCAGAACTGCCCTCATCGCAAGTTCAAAACACGAGTGCCTTGATAGTAAAGCTTTCTTCCTCCTATGCTTGCATATATACTGCAACTGAGAAGCTAGTGGTCTTGTGTTGCTTTTTTTGTTGTTGTTGTTTTGGGTTTTTTAAAAATAAATACCCTGAGTTTTCTCCTAATAGGAAGGCGAAAACATATCTAGATTTTTGGAGGGAGGTGTGTGTCTTTTTTTTAACAGTACAGATTGACTGTTTTGTTTCTGCTCACAAATTTATTATAGGAAAAAGCCTCTCGGTGAGAGCAACACAATACCTTTTGCAATTGCTTTCTATGTTGTGAATTATGCTTCAGGAGTATATGTGAAGGTGCTGTGCCAAAGAAACCAAAGATGCATATGCTTACAGAAGTTAGGTCTAAACTCTAGATAGTACTGTCTTACAAATGGGCGAAACCTATTATGAGGAGAGACTTTCCACTACTGTTTAATGCTTCTAAACCACTGTGTTTGAATAATGACTATAAAAGCTACTAGACTGTGCATTTCCAATTTTAGTTTGATAAAACTATAGTAGTAGTATACCTTTGTGGACTGGGATTGTCACTGTGTGTCAATAATCGAATGAGGCCTTCTTCTAATGAAGGCTTAAACACTGTTAAAACTACTGTCTGAATTCCAGATTTGCAAAGGAAAGCTGTTTTGCTGAGAGTCTGAAGTTCTTCATTACTTGTCCTAGACTGCATATGTAGTGGGTTTGGGGATGGGGCTGGATTTCTTTTGCTGTCTTTCACTGTCAGTTTTTATTTCTATGTATAATCTAATTAAGCTGCCTGTTTCTTTGACTAATCTTTGGCCACAGGTGACAGCAAGCATCTCCAGTGTTTTGGTGTTTAATAGTGTTACTAGTGTGTTGAGTTATGTGATGTCTAATAATTTTAGACTAGCTGAATTATTTGCACTGCTGTTACTCTACCTCACTGTAGGATCCCATAGTTTGATGACCTGGCTATAGCTTTCTTAGTGTTTGAGGTACTGCAGGTGTTCCCCTTATTTAAAGGAATAATTAAAACCTATATTTCCTTCAAGGTTGTCGGGCATTACCATAATGTCACTGTCTAGCTTCACTGTAGCAGGGGGGACTCCACTGTGTTCAGTGGATACAGCAGTGGCCAGGATAGCTTTTATCATGAAAATAGACCAGTGTTCACTGGAAGTTCCAAAATGCCAAGAGTGCAAGGTGTAAGTCTGCTCCTAGGGAATATCTTCAAACAGGAAGATAATCTGAATTAAAACTAATGTACGTCTGAGGCTTTTAAACTATATCTAAAATTAGAAATGGTTAAAATATGACACCTTTAACAACCAAAAGTTAACTTAAACACAGCTAAAAGGAAGTATTCCCAACAGCTCAATGGTGGCATGAAATTCTTGTTTCGTTTCAGCTTGGAGTTTCTGGTCCCACCAGAACGGAGATCTTCTGTGTGATTAGTATGCTCATTGCAGTTAGTAAAGCAGTATCTATACTGGAGAGCTTAATGATGGAGTAAGCTTATGCACGCTTAACTTCTGAGACTTCCAGAAAAGCTTATTCAAAGAACTGTTTCAGTTGACTTATCAAAACAAGTGATACCACCTTTCTTTTCCTGGTTTCCCTAGCTGTAATATAAAAACAAGGGCATTTGCTGTTTGTAAAGGCTAACAGCAGTACTGTGAAAACTTGTATTTCAGGTCTGAAGACAATTGTCTGAAGTTAGTATTAAGCAATCAACTCTCTCTTTGCTTCATGAGTAATTCTGTTCATTACACCAGGCTGTTATGAAGGTCAGCTGTCTTTTCTGAAGAGCTCTGAGACCAAACTAGTAATGATATAGTTAAATTCTGTGGTTAGACTGAAAAATTTGAAGGTGCATGCATTTATCATTACACTTTTTCTCATAGATCAGTGCAACATGTTTTTTTCTTTAACTTCAAGTACTGCAAGAGAATATAGAGGGGAATACAAATTTGATAGCTTTGCAGACAAAGAAAGGTTAGCACAAAACCCTGTGCTGCCGGAAACTGAAAAACTTCAGCTATTGCATCTTCTACCCAGATGCTACCTTCAGCAACAGATTGTTCTGATCCCCATAGCTATCCTGGTAATGTGGCTCTTAGAGGTTTATTGCATTGTTGGTATGAAATAGTTCTCTGATTCAGGCAGATTAAAATCTTGCCTTGGCAATTGGGTATTTTAGCAGCTGGACCATCAAGATTTCTAACTACCATTGTCATTTGCTAAATATTATTTGAATTAGTTTTTATTCCTTAAAGATGAGCAATTAGATTATTACATTTTGCCTGATGCAACTACTTCTTTACATTTTGTCAGCCTTTAGCTTTAAACCTTTAAAAAAAAGGTTTAAAAGCTGATTAATCTTTTAAAAAAAACAACCCAAACCAAACAAAAAATAACAATTTCTAGCTCTGAATTAACTGAATAGTTAACTACAAGACTGGCAAAAGATAGCTGAAGATGTGGATGTGATGATTTGGATCCTTTGTCTTAGATGGATTAGCATGTGGTTATGCAGCAGAAGTATGACTACTGTATTCCCTCTGTACCAAATAATATTTGTTTGGGGCTTTTCAGCAAGCCACAAACTGAGGACTGGATGCCCTGGCATGGTGTTTAAGAGCTGCATATCACTGGTTTAGTAGGGCAGATTTATAATAGGAATTAAAAATAGTCAGGATGGTGTCTTTCACCAGGTACTTTGCTTTCTGCCATGCTTTGTCCAATCTGGTAACTAGCATAGGAGTCACAAACTAAGCAGGCTGTGAGAACAGCGCTACCTATTAAAATAATTTTTTTTGAATGTAAGTATCAGATAAAAGATCATGTATTAATGTATAATAAGATTCCATGATGAAACTAGATGCTGACTGTTCACATCATAAGAATGGCTTTATATATTTTACTTTACCAAAAGTGTGTGCTCAGCTTGGTATGAAAACTTAGTTTTGTTATAATATCTTCAGTGTTTGGAAATATCAGTTCTAAGCCTTAATATAAAAGATCATCATTCTAAGATTTTTTTTTTTGTCCAGAAAACTAACTGCTTTAAGTAATTTTACTTCTAAATGTCAATAATGCTTGTACTTCTTCAGTTGCACTCTGTTTTACTTAATTCTATATTGTATATCCAGAATCAGGGAGGTGTTCTGTAATGGAAGCTTTAAACATTGTGTTACGTATACTTGTTTATCCTCTTCCCCTGCATGGCACTGCCTTAAATGTCAGAAGTTATTAATTAATGTACTTAATTGCAGATGTTCTGAAATAAGCACTCCTTTTAAAGGTATTCTAATAAATCTATTAAAAATTAAAACATTTCTAAAATATTAAGCTTGAGTTTTGGAAGTTTTCCTTAATCCAAGGCTTTCTTTGCATAATAACTAGATGTACTGCATTTTTTGTTACATAATTAAGTCTTGTAATTCAAAAATCAAGGTGTTACTATTGGTCCGTCTTCCTGGGAATAGATAGCTTTAGCAAATGAGAGGTCTTAATTCTTTTTGTGTGAATATGCTGCAACTGCAGAACTCTAATCTTCTTTTTATTGTTGCTGCCAGAAACTCCAGATGAAAATGGCAAAACCCAGCGAGCTGACAGTCTTATTATGAAGAAGATAAAGAAAAAAAAGAAAAAGAAACACCGGGAAGATATGAGGGGAAAACGGCTGAAGATGTACAACAAAGAAGTGCAGACAGTGTGTGCTGGACTCACTCGCATTGACAAAGAGAGTCTGTCTCAAGGACAGTGTGATAACTTAGAAATGAACAAGGAATCCTTCAGGTATCTGAAGGATGAGCAGCTCTGCAGACTGAATTTGGGTATGCAGGAGTATCGAATACCCCAGGGAGTACAAACACCATTTGTGACACACCAGGAGCATTCTGTTCGCAGCAGCTTCTTGAAAACTGGCACTAAATTTAGTAACTTCATTCATGAAGAACATCAGTCCAATGGTGGTGCTCTGGTCCTTCATGCTTACATGGATGAACTCTCATTTTTGTCTCCAGTGGAGATGGAGAGATTTGCAGAAGAGTTTCTTGCGTTGTCATTCAGTGAAAATGATAAAAATGCAGCTTACTACGCTTTAGCCATAGTACATGGAGCAGCTGCTTATTTACCAGACTTCCTGGATTACTTTGCTTTTAACTTCCCTAACACTCCAGTGAAAATGGAAATTTTGGGCAAGAAGGACATTGAAACAACAACAATTTCAAATTTTCACTCTCAGGTAAGAATTGTTTAAAGGCATAAACATTGCACAACATCTAGATTTGATTAAGCTTATTAATCCAGAGCAGGGATGGCCTAAAATAAGTGAGGCGCAAACTTTTCTCTAAGCAGATGAAAAAACATTATGTTGGGACTACTACTGCTATGCTGTGTATTCCTGTTTCTGCTTAAAACTCTTTTGTGCCCACTGGTAGTTGGCGAATCACATTTCGGACACTGCTAACCATGACCTGTAGAAAGATCTCTACTGATCTTGTAGACTTTCAGTTGATCTTCTAAACTTGGGATAATACTGACATTGTTCAAAACAGTAGGCAAGTCTGTAAAAGTTGTATAGATTGCAAATACTACCACTGCTTTTTCTATTCAATAGATCTGGGTTTTTTTGCAATGACATTACTTCTCAGGTTTCTGTATATCATTCACAATGAATAAGTGCTTTTAACATCTTGATTCTATCAGTAGCTGATGCTGGGTGTTATTTAAACTTTCCAACTGCAGAAAGGTGCTTAGAATAGCTTTTTTTAGTTGCCTTTGAAAAAGACTTTCATTTTATATACTACCTTGATACTCATAGTAGGCTTACACTTTGAGAATTTAACATAGTTTATTTCCATGTAACTTAAATGGATGCAACACTAATAACTAAGCTAATTTCAAGATTCCCATATGAAAACCCCTTGTATTTGACTATGGTGATCAAGCTTAGAAGTATTTATTAACACACGGAAACACTACAGTTTAGATAAATTTTTCAGATGGAATAAAACCTCAGACTAGACTAAGCAGGAAGAGAACAGATTTGGACTGCTGCTTACTTTATTCAAGACCTTAATTCCTTTTACTGATTCACCTCTTGGAAGGAAAAACCTGAACCTCTGTAGTGGAGTGCACTTTGGTTCTATTGGAACAGACCTTCTTTAGCAACAGATTTTAAAATGGTAATGCTTGTAGATGAGCTCCTCAAGCATTTGGATCTCTCCAAAGTTTACCAAATGCTTATCAGCAAGATTTGCATTGAACAATAGTTACTACTTTACAGAAAGTTACTGCATGGTCACTTGTGGCATCTTTGAATACTTTCCAGCATTTACTATAGATACCATTAAATTAGTAATTCTGACACTTAGCTTATGAATTGTTTGACAATGAATAGCTGCTGCTGCAGCACTTGTTTTAAACCAGCTTCTATTTCTTGTTTTAAGTAATTCTTTGCACTGACAGAGCTGCAGCAGAAGTGCATAGTACTCCAAACCCAGTCTGTCCAAACTGCTGCTACCAGCAAGAACACTTTTGCACAATACACTCATGGGCTCTGCTGATGTGTAATTGTCCACAGGTTAGGTTTTAAACTCTTCTGTATTGGTGATTTATGTTCCTTGAAATCATGACTACATTCTAATTTAGAGTACATGTGATGACCCCCTAAAATGGCTAAACAGTGCCAATTGGATATTTAACAATTACACTTTTTCTTGGTGAATGTCTTAGTCTTGTGAATATGAGTAGCTTATACTATAAATACATATGTGAGGAATGTATGGTAATAAGAGGCTTCACTGGTTTATAGTCTATGCTGGTATTTAAATTTATTCTATTTTAAGTACTGTTTAAACTTCATTAAGAGTCATGACATAAAGTTCAGTTGGTCTAAAACACCTCTTTAAACCCAGCTTCAGCATGACCTGGTTAATCTTCTCTGGCTGAAGTATGTTAGTGCGGTTCACGCACTGAGCAAACACAGAAGTACAGTTTTCACAACTCTTCAGGCAGCTGAAACAGCTCTTCAGAGAATATACATGATGCTAAAGTATCTAGTCTAAAATTGGTGTATTTAAATTGATGGTGGATTCAACTATGGTAGCTGCATGCAGCTAAAAGTAAAATTTTGCAACTAGCTTATCTTTAAATAAAGAAGGCTAAAATGCCCTGCTTAAGAGAACACCGGGAGGATAAGTCTGGCTATTTTACTGCTATTCCTTGGCAGCACTGAGCAATGAACAAATAGGCTAAGCTTCACTTTTGGACTTTCCTGCATGAGAAACTGTACAGTACAAAAGCAGTGTATAGTTATGCCTTTGCAGACTAAGCATGTTACAGTATTGTTGTATGCTGTAATACTGATTTTATTTTTGACTGAAGACACTCAGATAAGTCATCTCCATTCTATGTTGCACCTTCTGTATGCATGAACTGGTTCGCTATACTGAACAATACTGGGGCTAAAACTCCAGTGATAATTAACTCCCTTGCAAGGTGAATTACTTTGTTCTCAGGGCAGTGAGGACGATGTAAACTGAATGTTTATAACAAAGAGCTCCAATGTGTGTTTACAGTATAACTGTTTAGTTTCTGTATATTAAAATACTTAAGCTTCAATGTTCTCTGTTTTTTTTTTTGCTTGCATTGGCTTTGGCTCATTTGTTCTAACACTTTAGTGCTAAAGCTAAGTTTTGGTTTGCAGCTATTCACTTGGACTAAGAGCTTCCAAGACTCAAATCATTGGATGGTAATTTGTAAGCGTCCTTCACATAAGGCCGTACTTCAGTTTGAAAGTTCTCAGCTGTGCAGCTAGAATGAATTTATTTTCCCTATCAGTTGGTTCCGTACAACTGCTTCTAGGTCTACTCTGAATTGGAATGTATCTAGACTTGAAAAAACACTTCTGCTTCCTTACAAGAAGAAACTGATCAACTGTCTGATCAATTCTCTATACGGTCCAAAGAGCTGCTAAACACACACAAGGGACTGTGGGTTCCGGGAACAGGCCAGAAAACAGTTAGGGGAAGTAGATTTCACATAAGCTGCTACTGCTTCTGGGAAGGAGGTGGGAGAAGCAGCCAGCAGGTGATAATAGGGTAAGTTTTCCTACTGCTGCAACATACTGTCAAAAAAGGTTATTCTATTCCTGACAGCTTTGGGTCACGAACCATATCACAGTTTGGTTGTCTGCCCCATCTTAACTTTTCTTACTCCAGAAAAAGGTTTCTTGTCTGGAAGGACAATTTCTTTTTTTTTAACAGAAGCTATCAAAGTATGAAATGGAGAAATTGTGCGTCTGTACTGCAAGCTTAATTTGCTTTATCACTTAAGCCATATAAATAATGCCTGATGGTCTTACTGAAATATTCGATAGGTTTTAGTCAAGCACATAGCCCTTGCTATAATGTCATGTCATGCTGTCCTCCTTTCCTTCTTTTGTAAATAGTAAGCCTTCTTGTGTTCTTGCTTTCTTCCTTGTAGCAAAGTGTTTGTGTGGTTCGTTTTATAACTGACTTGACATACTAAAATATTGTCACTGTCAAGTGATTCATGCTCTTGAAACTAGAGAGAAACTTCTGAAGCTTAACCTCATTTGTCTCAAGCTTATGCATCATCTGTATGTCCTCTTCTTAACCTACAGAGGTATATTGCTTGCTTAAACCTTCATGAAGCAGGGATCTGCATTGTCTCAGTAGCATACAAATACCAGATCTGTAACTTCTTCAGGAAACATGGATGCTGTCTACTTCTTACTCAAGTGTGTGGGAACATCATTCAGGTGCTATAAAATGTCTCCAAGAAAACTGAAGAGCTAATTTTAAATACGCCTATAACTTCTAGTGTGATCCTGTATGGAGTAGGGGATACATAGGGTAGTGATAGCTGTTTGGCATTTTGAAAGGGAACAGGACACCTGAGTGGTCTTACTAGCCTGATGATCCTTTTAAAACAGTGAAGTTAATGCATGATCTGATCTCTAGATAGTAGCAGTTAGTGCTCATATGATCCACTAATGTTTTTAAAGAAACATAGTAAACAAATCATAGCAATGAAAGTAACGTGATAGTAAGTTACCAACTTCTAATGGCTGTGTAAACTGGAATGACCCAGGATAAGTTCCTAAACAAGAATTGAACTTTAAACAAAAATAAGAAACTTTCTCAAAAGGTCCTAGTGAATATAACAAAAGTAACTTCAGGTATTTTATAGTCTCATCTTTCTTCCCTGGAAAGAGGTGTGCATGAAGATGGCTGTGAAAGTGAAGAGACAAAATTAATATAGCTGTTAAGACTGCATCTAGAGCATTTGGCAAATGAAAGATCAAAGTAGTTTGCAAGAAAGTGCAGCAAGCAGGTTACTTGATCTTCTTTTACAGTTGGGTGGTTTAGTGTCCCGTGAGTAAGATGCCTGTTCTTTTAGATGGTCATGAACATGATTGTTATTACACACAAGGCCTTGGCATACTCCATATTCTTGAGATCACTAACCTAACTAGTGGTATTAGTATTTGTGCTGCTCTGAAGGAATTAAGGATGAGATAGAAACTATATGTGATGGAATTTTTTTACAGCATGTTAAATTAGTAGACCACTTCCCTTGTGATTGAGGTGCTTGAGTTGAATACTACAGCCTGCTGGTAATTGCTTTGAGTTAGTACATATTTCCAGTGTAAACACATCCTGGTTTTAATTCTCAAGTGTACATATTTCTTAAGTTCTATAAAAACTAGCAAAACATTGAAATCCAGGGTTTTCTTAAAGTATTTCTAGTGTCTCCTTTATAGCTCTTGAATTCTTTCCTATTTTTTCATTGCATTCCAGTGCATTTAAAAAAATGTTAAAGCTTCTAGTTTTTCATTTCCTTTGAAAACATTACAAGGAAAAACTGCATATGGCAGTATAATTTATTTTAACTTGTGACAAACACCTGTGAAATACTAGTGAATCTCAACAGGTGGTTTCAATAGAACAAATCTCATCTGGCAGTAGTCTGTCTCCACTTACTTTAATAGTACCAGGCAGTTAAACTTAACTGGCTTAAGGATCAGAGCATTTCAGTCCTTAGTTCTCCTGTGAGTGACTTGGGATGTAAGCTTCTACATATGGGGGTAGAGGTGGTGCAGTGCAGCAGTTGGCTTAGGGCTGAGGAATAAAGCTATCTGTGAAGTTGTCTTTGGCTCCTAGTTAGCTTTTAATTAAAATGTAAGTGTGCGCAACCAGTGCAAAACTACCAACTGCATATATACAAAGCTAAACAAGGGAGAACTCTGGAAATAGGAGTGAACAAAACTCCTATAATTAAGAAGCTAATTATCTGTGGTTGCTGCTAGAGGATAAATTGCAGCAGTAACTGTAACTCTTTATTAGTTTCTCCTAATTTACCTTTAACAATGTCATGGAGTAGTTTACCTCTGGTTTGTTGGCTAAACTACAAAATTTAAACTAAAAAAACTTAAAACTAATCTGCTTCATACATGTATCTATAAATGGAGTTATAAAAGGTATCACACTTTCTAAACATGACTGTGAAATTGCAAATTTACCAGTAACCCTCTGTCCTTTGTACCTGTCCCACAACTTAGCCATGGAGATTGGCTGTAGTTTTTTACCACTAGAACCACTTGGTAACTGTAGAAAGGCTGTTGAAGAGCAATAGAAGGTTGGGGCTCAGACACAATTGTGTACGGCAACCAGTCTAATTATGGCAGAATTTGTGACCTTTTAAGATTGAATAGCTGCTGCATTAACATACAACCTACCCTGTGGCCATGTGACATGTTATAGCTGCAATCCATAGGATGAGACTAGAGAACACTGGAGTCGTGCCAGTGGTTCTCCTCTGGGAATGGGAAATTGGCAAGAAAAGTTTCCAGGTTACCTGGGAAAGCGGGACAGTGTGCTATAGAGGATGTCAAAAAGCTGTGAGATTAAAATGTTTCTGGCCATGGCAATGACAGCAGGTTATATTGCAAATGGTAATCCTAAAATTATTGTACATGAACACTGGGTTTCTAGCTACACTTCTCATTTCCTCAATTTTTTGTCCAATTTTGTATATACACTATAGCAATATTATCAGAACCACTGCATGAAGGACAGCTAGATTTTTCACTATAGTCATAGGGAAAAGACCTATAGGACATGAACAAAATGAAGAACGCACATATTTCAGTAGCATACAGTTTGAAATGTAGATGCAAGTCAACTGCACAAATTAGTGGAGAGTTTAAGTTTGCTGGTGAAGGGCTGAGTCACAACGAAACTGTGTGGTGGATTTCTCAAGTCAGTCTGGAAGTATTCAATTGTTCCTCAATTAGTCAAATACTAACTTGCTATTATTCAAACTTTAGAAGTGTTTTCTATCAGTAACGCAGAGAGAGTTCTTTTCTCTTGGGATACTGTATGGGTATCTGTTCTGACAATCTCTATGCATATTCCCAAAGGCATCTCTAATGAAATAGATGTAGATGAGTCCAAGATTCATCTTAGCTGTGGCCTAGTGTATTATATCAATCAAATTTTATGTCTTATAACAGAACTAAAGCTGTGTTGGTATTGTCTTTTCCTTTCTGGCCACTCAGGTCAATCGAACATACTGCTGTGGAACCTACAGAGCAGGACCCATGCGTCAGATCAGTCTTGTTGGAGCAGTGGATGAAGAAGTCGGGGACTATTTTCCAGAATTTCTAGATATGTTAGAAGAATCTCCGTTTCTCAGAGTAAGCAGTAACTTGTTGTGTTTTGTTTAGAGCGCTGTAGATACTTAAGTTTCATATATTTCCAAGTAATGAGAAACCATGAAGTATTTTCTCTGTTCACGTGCTTATCATTTAGGCTACTGAGGTACATTCTTTCCTGTGTCCAAATGAAAGGTACTGAGTTAGATAGCAACAGTTGCGTGAATAATTAAAACATTAAATACAGTTTATCATATATATATGCACTACATAATCATCTACTTCCCTAAAAACTAAGTTTGATAAAGTTAGCTTGGAATTTTACCTCTCGAACTTACTTTAGTTTCTATGCAATTCTTTTGACAGCAAACTTGAACCAGTTTTAACAAAGGCATCATTTAATTTTTCTATCTCACCCAGTATTTTGTTATGTGTGTTTTGTGGGTTGTTTTGTTTTTGTTTTCTTTTAGATGACTTTGCCCTGGGGTACTCTTTCTAGTCTCAGACTTCAGTGCAGATCACAAAGTGATGATGGTCCCATAATGTGGGTGAGACCAGGAGAGCAGATGATCCCAACTGCTGATATGCCAAAATCGCCATTCAAACGGCGCCGGTAATGTTTTGTTTTCCTTTCCGTATTAAAGGTAAAACACTGTGGTTATGTCTGTGTTAGATTTGAGAACAAAACCTGAATAATTTATGTGTAACTAGTTCTTCAGAAGGCTAAATCACAGCCACAGCTTCATTTTCATTTCTGTTTCAAATTGTCTCAGTGGATAAGACAAATATGTTACTTGTGATGGTTATTTTATTTCACCACTTTTCATAGTAGTATGTCCCAGATCAATGCTTTCTTAAGATTGAAACCTCTTTATTATCATTCAGGAGATTTGCTTTATTCATCTTATTTCTGTGGAAATAACTAAGGCGGGGGCGGGGGGGGGAGGTGAAATGCTCTAAAACAGCACTGATCCTTACGCTGTTCATGTCGCATTTTGATACTAGTACTAACACACCTGTAATGCTGTCTGCCTTCTCAGGAAGTATTGTGGTATACATATGTACGTGCTGTCTTTCTCAGAGAGAGTGTGCTGTAGAACAAATTTTAGGAAATAAAGAATTGGAAGCATATTTTAATTTCAAGAAGAATTTTTGGATGTACTCCCAAATAACTAAACTTCAGTATCTGGTAAAATAGCTCTATTTTACATACCATTAAATTCCTCGAAGAATTCTTTCAGCACAAGTGAACAAACAAATTTTTTTGGTGATTGGATTTGTTTTATAAAGTTTGATCTCATAACCTGAATTGTACTTTGCTGTATTTGTTTCAATCTTCTGTCGAGTGAACACCTAGAAGAAATCAAGGGGAAGTCTTTTGGTCTTTGATTTTTGAAGCCTGCAGCACACAACGTTTTAAGATTAGTTTAATACAAGTGTTTATTTTTGAGTAGTCTGAAACATTTTTTTAGTATGTTTTTTCACGTTGTAGGTCAATGAATGAGATAAAGAATCTCCAGTACCTACCTCGGACCAGTGAGCCCCGTGAGGTTCTGTTTGAAGACAGAACAAGAGCTCACGCTGATCATGTGGGTCAAGGGTTTGACTGGCAGAGTACAGCTGCTGTAGGTGTTCTGAAGGCTGTACAGTTTGGGGAATGGTAAGTGCCTCTGAAATGCAACTATTCTAGTAGGAGGGGGTAATTCTAAACATTTTATCTCTTAAAAAAAGAAAATTCCTTGGAAAACAAGCTTTATAAAGGAAGTGATTTAAACCCTGTGAGATAAATGCTGTCTAGAGCTTGAAAAACACAAACTATGTAAACAACATTTGGATACATAACCTACTATTTTTACCTCTTCTTGAGGCAGTAGAAAAGTTGTAACAGCAGTTTGCAGAAAATTTTAGTGGAGCCTTAAGATACCATGCTTGGACCATCGACTATGATTGTTCTTTTCCTGAATAGGTATATTAATGCGAACTTCTGTAACAGTAATCTAAGAACTCAATCTAATTAATTTCACAGCTACAGTGATTTCTCATTTAATGTACCCAGGACATTCCTGTTGACCTTGCACAGAAACTAGACTTGCATCATTGTTATTTCTAGCAATTACAGTAGAAACTGGATAGCATCATTAGAAATATCATTAGATTTTTAGATGAATAAAAGGTGCCAGAACTTCCTTTACTCTGACTCACAGCTGTTGAATAAAACCCAGCTCCTCATTGCTTCAGAGTTACTTTGTTACTTTAAATTTTTCCTTTAATACAGAATTATTATGTCTGATTAGAGAATGAAAGAACTGAGGTGAATTGTGGTTCCTAGAACATACAGATGACTTTGATAGTGGCAATTTGAACCTAGTTCTCAGACATTCAGTATAGTATTTGTCCACGAAAACATCACTTCTGTGGTGCATGCATCAAGAAAAAAGTAAAACGAAAAAAAAAAAGAAATCTATGAATTATGCCTCCTTTTCAAAATAAGACGTGTATTGAGAAGTGATGAGACTTTTTGTGGAGTGTAAAACTGAAGTAGGTGGTTGGTTCAGTGAAACTTTCTGTCGGAAAGTTAGTTCTCTATAACTCAATCTTCAAAAATTCCTGGAATTCTCATCTTTTTCTAGGAGTGACCAGCCTCGTATAACCAAAGATGTGGTTTGTTTTCATGCTGAAGATTTCACTGATGTTGTGCAGAGACTTCAGCTGGACCTGCATGAACCTCCAGTGTCACAGGTATTGAATCTTCCCTAGTGACAGCTCATTCTTAGCATTTTGGAAGTAACTTCTGACAGTTTTCAGGTTCACTGTATAGCCAGCCCTTCTGTATCCTCATTGGCCCTCAGTTCACAGCTCTCTTGGGTAATTTCTGGTGTTTCAGAATAGAATAGTTCCACTGGAAGGGATCTACAATGATCATCTAGTCCAACTGCTTTTCCTTTCCACCAAGCTGGGTTTTATGCTGAGAGTCATGATATGTGCTATGGAAACAATTAGAAGTTGATTAAGAAGTAATGTATGCCCGTTTCTGCTTTTTCTAATATACTGATACTATCTGAGGGTACAAAGGCATCTAAACTCGGTCCTGTCAGCCGAAACAGTTGAACCTACTGTTTTCAGCTGAACTGTAGAATGCTCTTAACTGTTCATTGTCCTTTCCTAAGGTGTGCACACTAGATAAATCATATTTATAAAGTCAAATTCTCATTTAAATTTGAAGTTTTACCTTTTAAACAGAAACATTCTGATTTAGACATGAAGTATGTTGAAAATAGGTGGGTACTGAATTGTTTAAACAGAGTATACCACTAACTTTATCATCTTTCCTTCTCTCAGTGTGTTCAATGGGTGGATGAAGCCAAACTAAACCAAATGAGACGGGAAGGCATTCGCTATGCTAGAATTCAGTTGTGTGACAATGACATCTACTTCATCCCTAGAAATGTCATTCATCAGTTCAAAACGGTGTCAGCAGTCTGCAGCTTAGCCTGGCACATAAGACTTAAACAATATCACCCTGTGGGGGAGACTTCTCAAAATGCAGAAAGTAATTCAAGCTCGAACAGTAGTGTTCCTGGAAAGACACAGTCAGAAGGTGAACCCCAGTGTGTGAGTGTAAAAATAGAGTCTGAAGAACCAGGTATAGAAATGCAGCTTACAACAGGGGTGCTCTCCCCTGTTTCTTCAATATCAGGACTTGTGCAACCAGATCAGGTGGCCCAGCCCCTTCCAGGTTTTAAAATAGAGTCTGATCAGCAACACAATCCACAGGATCATGCAGGCTCTTCTGTGTGATATGTATATAATCAAACATTTTTTAACAACTTTTTAAAATTTTGATGTGAAGTTATAGTTTTATAACTGGCTTATGTTTTATTGGAGAAATCTTGCCTATAATTCTATAAAGAAAGGTGACATTCCAAAATGTCAAGCATATCTTTTTTACACAGATTATGCAAAATTCAAGTTGTATTTTAACCCCTTAGTACAACCTGTAAACAGTGGTCTACCACTTCTTTCTGTTTAAGTAAAGAGATATTGAATATCTCCTCAAAGTCAGAATGAAATTCCTCCAGGAACATAAAATGATTGAACTATATTGGTCAGTGTTTTTTTTCCCTACTTTTGCTTTATCTCTAATCTTCACCAGAAAGTTATGCTTTTGTAGAAGACTTGCAAAGTAACTTTCCCATGTCATTAATTGCTTAAAAAAAAAAAGAGAAAGCACAGCACTTTTGATGATTTATGAAATTTTTGGTATGTCTGTTCTTGACGTGTTGGTTTATATACAAGTTGGGTTTATATACAAGCTACAGAAATTGATCTCTCTTTCTTACAGTTCCTTCAAAGAATCTGTAAAATTAACTGAAGAAAGTGTCTGATCCTGTTGAAATGCAATGACTTACTGACCTAATACTTTTCATAGCACTGCTTATGTTGTTTGGTGTGAGGGTTTTGCTTCCAAAATGCATCTTCCCTGAACATGATTAATGCTAGTGTCAAAATTAGAGAACCTATTGGTAGTCTTGTGGAGGAAACTGCTATCTTTGAGCACTTTAAGGCTTTAAAATATTAACCAACTTGGCAGCTTGTTTTGATCAGGTCTTAATGTGTCCAATGGAACCACACTGTCCCTTGTACTGATGCACTTAATACAATAGCATTGACTTGATAACTGACTTACACAGTAAGGCTGTCCTTATTCTAGGAAGTTCTGTATTACTGTTTCACAATAAAAAGTATTACGGCATTGGACTGCTGTTTCCATGTGTAGCTTCTGGGTGCCCAGGTACTGTCGAAAAATCAGTGGCACATGCTAAATATGTAGAGTGTCAGCTATCAACAGTTTTTAAACAATCTTTCAATATTTCTGGATGTTAACGTGTAATCTGTATTTGACTTTCACTCGCCGCATTTATTACTGCCCTTTCCAGTCATCAAAAGGAAAAGTCCTGTCCCTTTCTCCCTCTCCCTTCCCCCCCTCCCTCCCCCCCCTTTAGAGTACAAGGTGGGTTTTGGTGCAACTTAAGCTGTCTCCAGATAACTTTATTTGTTCTAATCCTCACTGGAATAGGAAAGATTTGAAACACTATGTTAGACTAGACAAAAGCAAAGATGCTGTGTTAGTTCTGAATGCATCTTTTTAATATCAATTATTACTCTTCTCTTTATAAGGGTGTCTAAAATATGTTACTCTATTATAAATCTTACTTTGTGCAATATTGTTTGTGTAGGCTTTTATATACATATTAGCACCTCAGTGTAGAGGTCACTATTTTAAACTGATAGAAAAATAATCATCAGAAGATACTGCAGTGATTAGTTAGAACCTGTATTACTCCTTATGTGTATGTATGTATTGTCTTCGGTACAAAAATGAGGACTAGGAAATATTTCAATTTAAAACTAATTTACAGATTGAAGTGGTAGTGACTTGTTTAGTAATCTGTGTAAATAAGGTGTTAGAATGGAAAGCTTTTATGATGAAAAGTAATGTGATTCATGCAGGGGTGTAATTTAATCTTAGCAGAAATTCTAGATGACCCAGACTGGTTCATAAGTGAGCCGTCTGTTCTGTGGTGGGTTTTTTCCACTTTTTATGTTGAGAGGAATTTCATAGCTTTAAGGGTTGTGCAAAGTAAAATTCCTCACAGGCAATAGTGATTTCAATTCATCCTTCACATTCAAAGATCATATTACCCAAGGGTGTTCTTTCCTTTTTACGAAGTCTGCTAGTCTTCCAAGTGCCCATTTCACTTCTCACGTGTGCTATTCTTTGGTCGTGTCAGTAATGGCCGTTCTTTGACAGCCAGCACTGCGTACAGTCACTCAGGAGTTGACAAAATCTGCAGATACTACAGTGAGTCTGCACACTGTAGTATCTGCAAGCATAACTTTAAAGACAGAATAAACAGATTGAGAGCCCCCATACACCAACTTGCCTGTTTTATAGTGAAAATTGAAGTAGAATGAAGAGGGAATCAATTTGGAAGTCCTCTGTAAATTCTAATAGCTTGTTTTCAAATGGATAAAGGAAGACAACCAGAGTGGCTCACGTTGCTTTCAAAACTGTAGCTTTAGTGAAATTTGTGACTAGAGCCTGAAATACCATAAAAATGCTCTGACTTATTTCTTTGGATTGGAGGGACATGACCAATAGTATCATGCTCTCTTTATGTTCCGTTCAGTTACTAACTTAACATCTAGCGTCAGATTTAAATACAGAAACGTATCTTCAAATGACTTGAATGTTGCTGATGCTGTTCTAGCATGCTTGGAAGAGAGGAGCAAACTTTCTAAATGTCTATTACCTAAATACATTATCGGCTTTGGTGTGCTTTAACCAAAATGACATAATACTATCAAACTCCACCTCAATTCTGGATGTAAAATGAGAGGGATTGCTTATGAAGCTGATCGCTATGTCTAGCCATTGTTTCAAGATCGCTTCAATTGCACTGAGAACAACAGTGCAGAATTAGAACAATGCCTTGATGTGAAAGATGCACATGTTTTTCAGAATAAGACATGTAGAATACAGATTCCTATAAGCTATAGCTGTTGAGAAATGAAGTAGTGAGTTCAAGCCACTTAGTGTTTGCTGAGCAAAAGAAATCTCTGGGTAGGGAAAAGTAAATATTTCTGAATATTTCTTATGTTAAATAGCTGGCTGTTTGAATTTCTCTAAGATTTCATAAAGCAGCCTACATAATGAGATAATCAAACTGTGGCAAATTTCATGGGTTGTTCTAATAGTTCTCAGTAGTACCCAGATAAATACCTAACAGTTCATAAATATGAATGTGCTGGTCAGTTACTGTAGATAGTCAATTCTCCATTTATGATGATCTGCCCTGTGATACGTGTGTCACTTGACAATGAGAAAACACTCCTGCTTTGTGCTGGAGACAGCTGCTAATTGACCAAGCGCTCTTGTCTATAAAGAGTGATCAGCTTTGAGGTATGGACCACAGGCTTAGGCTTCTATTTTAAATGAAGTGCTGTTGATTAAAAATGTCACTTGAGATAAAGGTGACTAGCTCAGTTGTGCTAAAGTGGACTAGCAAAATGCAATTTAAAGATGAAGTATCAGTTAGCTTTGGTTTCCTCTCTCCTTTAGACATGCTACAAGTCATTTTGTGCAGATACTTGACACGTTCTCTTCCAGGAAGGTGGGACACTCAGCGAAGTGTTCTCAGGGGATTTATAATAAACATTTTTCACAGGTATAGATTTTGCCATACAGGAAAAGGGCTCTCTACTGTACTGTCAGTTTTCCTGCACATTACGGTTTAGTTCCCCTGGACAAGGCTAATTGTCAGAGCTTTTCCCACAGGCGTGAGCTCAAGTCCTTAATCTGGCATGGCCTGCAGTTTTCATGTCTCAATCAGCTAAGTAATAAACTCTGAAATTGTAGTGTCTGAGGAGTGCTAAGTGTTGGCTCTGTACTTCCTTAAAGGGGCGTGAGAAGAGGGGAACACTTTTGTTTTTACTCCCAGAAAAGTGACCTCTCTATCCCCTGAAAGCTTGTCCTGTATATTCTTCTCTGTCTGGTAAGGAATCCCAGTGGCGTGTGGCTGCCTCGGGGGCGATGGCGCGGGGGTTGAGGAGGTGTCTGTGGGGCACTCCAAGGGTTTCGAAAAATACATACGCTTCTGATTTCTTTGTACAACATGTAAAGAGACTTCTGTATTGCTGTTTTTGTGATTTAATTTGATTTTGATTGGCAGCTACGATTTTTTTCTGTGGTTTTAATTTATCTAAGGTCTCTGCCTACAGAGGACGTGTACAATTGCCTGGAAGACTGTTTGCTTTGTGCGACCTTAGTATATTTATTGACATTAGCAAGTGTTTCAAAGAGGTTTTACAA